GGCCCACGGTACGTACCTGTCTACCTTGCTTTCCATTCCGACGACACGGAGTGACCTTCCCGGGCGAATACTTCAGAAGTTCTAGGTACGTTCCTTTGTTGCCGCTAGACATGGACCACTCTGTCGGGGGAGGAGTCCCGTCTTCCAGGATCCTTGGAGGCACAAAAGGAGGCACGAATACACAGGTACAAAGGAAAGTACCTTTTTTACTGCCATTAGTCCTCATGTCTCTTTTCTTCCAGTAGGTTGGGAGCCGGGCTCTGCCTCACTTCTTCCACGGATACATAGTACATAGTAGGTACGCAGTAGAGTTCATTGGGCCGAATAAGTTTAGGAAGTTAGGAGAGACTGCGACCGGCAAACCCCCTGAAACCACGCGGGATGCCTCAGACCGCAATTCTTTCCCGGATGCTTTTCTCCATATTACCACTTTCCCAAGAATCCTGTCACCCACTCACTCTACTCCGTATGTATGTACTATGTACTGCGTAGTCAGTCTGCTCGCTGGGCTATGGGCAAGAGTGGATGTCAAATGCAGCCCAAGTCTCTGGCCCACGACGCCCAAACTCGCCCATCCGCAATCTGGAATTTTTCTGGATGCAACTTTCATCGTCGGCCCCCCTTGCCCTCCCCCGGGTTCCAGGCAAGGCAAAGCCAGGACACACGGCGCAGCTGATCTCCATCCAGGAATCCACCCCTATTGTTTTTTCCTTTGGCGTATTTTTTTTTTTCTTGTCTCCCGTGAATACGGAGTACCATCGTCCATTCTGCTGCACCGGCGGCCTGTCACCGACCCCCCGGGAGCCATCACCGCTGATTAGAATCGGGCATCGTGGGACCTCGGGACAGCTTCCTTCCAATGAAGCCCCCATGGTCTTCTTCAGACTTCTTGTCACCATCCCCTGTTCCCAAGCAGAAGAATCCGGCTTCTACGAAATACCTACACTATTCGTACGGATACAAACTTACAAACTCATGGCTGCCATCAACCACCGTCTACAAAGTACACTGCCACTAGGCCCTTTCTTCTCTATCCACAATCACACTCGGTTTCTCGAGTCTTCCATCTTGGCTGATGTCGGCTGCTGTGGACGCAGTTTCCAGGGCCAAGGGTCGCAAGTGCTCTAGTCAGGAACTGGAGGACCGGGACCGCGGCCGGGACCTGCAGTCTGGCGCATCTCTTGCTTCAAAATTTGACATTCTCAATATTTGGGTACCAAAACCCAGGCGGAAGAACCCAGTGATATTCAGCAAATTCCTAATAAGTCGTTTGATTGCCACCATTTCGCTACCATACAATCTGTCTAGCTCGCGGTCAACTATAACTTGAGAAAGAGTCACAGGATAGACAGACAGCAAACAGTCGTGCTGTGGCTTTTGATACCCTGACGGGGACGCATGCCACCGTTCCATACAGGGTACTTTGCAAACAAATCAAGGGCCTTTACGTGGGCTTCGGATCCGGTGCCGAAGCACTATTGAAGTTGACGCATGTCTCTTGAAGCTTTTACCCTATCTTAGTCAACCAGGCACAACTTACACTTCCGCCCTTACCACGATTTACAAACCAAGGTTCATAACGCCCGCCGCGATCGGATGCCTGCTTGCTCGCTTCTAACCGTTGACCGTTGAAGTCGAAATGGCGGTGTTATGTCAGATACCTCAACACAGAAGGTTCTTGTCGGGAGCATACTACCACTGCCACTCTGACAAGACGAGGAACGGCTTCATCGATTTGGAGCGTGGTACCTCGCAGCATTTTACTCATCGAGAGAAAACAGACATAACTTTCAGACAGTGGCATTACAAACTCTTGATTCAGTAGGCAAAAGTTGGTTCCAAGTGTACATCGTTCCGGCCCAGTATTTCTTCTTCTTCTTCTTGTTTCTTTCTGGTACTCTCCCGTCTCCAACTACGGATACGACTGTCGACAAGAAGTCTGTCTTTGCCAACAACGGAATGTCTGCAGGTCAGCAGATCAAGATGAAGCCAACGTTCCTCCCGCCAGCTGCCTTGAGCCTCTCACAGACGGCCATGTGGACGACGTGGCAGGCACACGACTGGCTGCATCTCCCATGTGAACCATACTTGGGCACTGGGTTTAGGGGGACGCTATCTTGGGGGCTTGGGTTCTGGTCCTCTGGATAACCTGAGACATTTCCCAAAGCGAGGAAAAGTTGCACCGGCCCCAGGCTCCCGACAGAACGTCACAATAAACCCACCCGCCCACGATGCCCTGATGGTACCGAGCTATTGGGGGCTTTTGCGACGTTCGATTGGTCGTCGGCCGTTCCCTTTGGATCCCACAATCTGGGGACAGGCAGAAGAAAACGACTGGAAATGCGCGGTGAACGTTACCAGGTCGATTTGACGTTTTCCGCATCTGCCCATAACTCACATCGCATAGTCATCGCCGCCTTTGCAGCGATGGTTGTACAAGAGTGGGATCTGGATTATGTCAAACGCGGCCGTTGCTGTTGCTCTCTTCATCGACGCCAATCCCTTTGCGGTCCTGGCCCATCGACCTTGACCCATCGTATGATAGGTCGCGGCGGCCCCCGCGAGACAGAGTGACAGGCTCCGTTCCCCGCCCAGACCGAGGTGCTCACCGGCCATAATGAGCACCGAAACCCGACGAACGGCTGATCTGGCAGCTGATGCTGTGCGACAGAAGCGCTGAGCAGGTCGTTCCGGCGATGACAGGTCGTTCTTTCGGCTCTTCTCCACGTTGCATCGAAGACGTTGCCTCTAGCCTCCTGCTCTAGCCTCTGCTCATCTTTCACGGGAGGGACGTGAGCACCGCCAAAGGTGTGGCACAGTCAGGCGCAGAGTAGATGATGCTCCGTACCAGAAAATAGGTACGTCAGAATCTCCGCTGCAGTAGCACATATTCCATCCGTCTAAAAAAGGTGTCCGGGAGGATCGGTAGGCCAGGCAGGTCTCACTCTTCCGTGCGATGGTACCGAAGTGGTGAGCACTTTCTTAACCCGTGGGGCTCGAATCATAAGTCGTAGGCTTGGAGCTCAGGAGGGCAAAGCAAATCAGGAAAGCCAAGCTACGGTTATCTAATGAGAAACACGGCTCGCTCTGCTGGCTTTCCCCGTCTAAGCTGTCCTCGCTCTGTCTCTTGCTTTCCATTCCCGCATTACTTGGCAGGCCGAACCAGATGTCTTCCTTGGGCCCCCACCCACATAGAGAAGCGTGAAAAAAAAGAAAGAGACAAAACCACGTCAACGTCTCTCACGTCTTCGAAACCTTCATGTCCGGCGCGTGACGTTAATTCTTCCAATGAACAGAAGAAAGTTCTTTTCCACCTACCGAATCCCTCCAACAGCCCCCTACCCCCCGCGTGTCAGCGCGCCGGCGGAGGGCGTTGATCATCTGCGCAGGAACCCGGAAGTCTATAGGTTGGGACAGTCACGGTTTAGTATGTAATGACGTTCCACACCTCTTTGGGGAGGTTCAGTTTTCGAGAGGTAAGGTAGGTAGGTTCTATTAGGCAGACGAACAAGACCATAGCCCAGCCAGCCCACGCGCAATCCACACCCGATCCCACTGGTAGGGTAGAGATTACACCCGCCATTCTGGGAAAGACAAAGGCGGCGCCTGTCAGATGGGACGGGCCTTGTTCGTCTCGTCGCGATGCGCTGGCGGGAACGCAATCCGCGCGGGTAAGGCAGCCTTGTTCTCTCCCCCTCTCTCTCATGCTTACCACCCGCCCGATGGTATGTGTCTACCCATACGTCCTCGGACGGGAGTTTTTGGCCCGGTCACTTGGTGATGGTGGTGGTGGTGGTGGTATAAGGCGCAGTCGGATTGGGTGAGCGTGGGCGTGGCCTGTTGTAATTTGTTCAGACTCTTTGAAAGAACTGACTGCATGCACAAAGCCACATTGGCCCGCCCCTCCATCCCCTTTTCCTCCTATTAATGACTACGTCTCTCATGTTTTCCTTCCGATTTCCTACGGCGGTGATGTACCTACCGGTACTCTCTGCCCCCTTCCAAATGAGGCGTATCATGATACTCTATACTCGGCTGCGGACCCGAGCGAGGTGGCTAAAGTCCCATTACCCTTCCCTTCCCTTCCCTCCCTGAAATAGGTGCGAGGCTTCCTCTTCCATCGGGCCAATCCGGGCCAATGGAGCGAACTGGTGTTGTAACGTCGAGCACGCATTTGCGGAAAATGGAGCTGCCATTTCGGGCGAACAGCCACACTTTCTGCCTCGCGGAGAGAGTTGATTCGAGAGGCTCATGGCCAACCAAGAGTCCAATCGTTTCGTTCCAGTAATCAAAAGAGTGGTGGTAGTGTGACAGATTCTTGGGTGAATAAGACGCCGTCATGATGACTGCCTGACAAACGATGACTCCTAGACCTTTCGGCGTTGGTTGGTCCGGAATCAACCCTCCCTGCCCTCTTCCTACGGAGGAGACTGCGTGGGTGATCTTGATGGGGGCTGTATGGTGTATTGAGTTACCTCAGTAAGGGAAAAGATGGACTCAGACTTGTAAAGGTTTCAACGTCTTCTAGAATCCAGATGAGGGCTTCGGGATGACACGATGTGCCTCGATGTGGGTAGTGAGCGGTTGTGTAAGTCATGCTGTGATGTGCAAAGGCTTCTGATGTATTTCTGCCCAGCACGGCTATGGTACAAAGCGAGTGGCTGAAAGTTGTATCCAGGTGCAGCTAGTTGAGATCCTGCGTTCGCCGTACCTGTCTACAATTAACGCCTCGATACCTAATAGGAGAAAACACGAAGGTCTTCACTTCGCTTGGAGGGACGCCCGAATGCTTCACGGGCTAGACAACCACTTATGTCTGATGGAAAAAGCACAGCAAATCTTCATTGAATGTGATCCACAGCCTTCTACCGTCATATCGTTTCCGCAACCTGATATCTCTTCTCATTTTGTACGCCCAAACGCCAGGCCATGACTGCCCGTTCTATAAAAGTAAATTCCATCAACAGAGACCGGACATTTCCGTCAAAGGACGGACACATCTAAGCAAAGTGAATGCCCTCTGAGTTGAGAGCGGAAAGTAGCTTCAAGAAATCCGTCTCGTCGCACAACCGCGCTCTCTTCTCCATGAGCTCGGTGCTCTCGAGCGCGCGTTCAATCTTGCTGCGCACCAGCGCCGCGACCTTGGTCTTCTTGCGCTTGCTCTTCGTCTTCTCGGGCGCCTTGGCAGCTGTGGCGTTGAGCTCCTTGAAGAACTCGGGTGTGTCGTCGTCCATGGGCTCGACATCCTCGTCATCGTTTCCGCCGGCGTCCGCGTCGTCCATTTCCATGGCGTCATCCTCGTCATCCTCGACAAGAGAGTCGTCCAGGGGCACGTTGTTCATGGCAGCCCATGTACGGTAGTTCTAATAGCAAATCAGTACTTCTATCCTTCGTAGGTGCACAGCCTCAAAAACTCACCTTCTCAAGCATCTGGAGCACTTCTTTCGTACCAAGCCAGCTGGCTCGCATGGTCCTGTTCTTACGGTTGAAGCACTGGATGGATTGTCAGCTGCGAGATCTCTGGAGTGATTACAACACTACTTACAACGCGGAGGAGGCCGTCGAATTCCTCGAAGGCGATTGTGGGACGCTCGGCTCCCTGCTTAGGCACAATGCGCACAACGCAGGAGTCGACCTGTGGCGGCGGCCTGAAGTTGGCCTTGGAAACCTTCATCTATTGGAGAGCATCAGTAGACCGTTGCCAAAGATGCATTCCCGAGCATCTTTACTCACCACGTTGGAGCATGTCGCCCAAAAGTTGGCGTTCACACTCAATCTTCCGTAGAGCTTGTCGCCGGGCTTAGCCACAAGTCTTTGTCCGAACTCGAGCTGAAACATGAGAATCGCTTGCCGCGGCGGCTTTGGCATCGCGAGCATCTTGAAAACCAAGGGCGAAGAGATCTAACGATAGGTTAGCTACGCCGCAGCTTGCATAAGAAGCAACAGAGAACGTGCCTGGTAAGGTGTGTTTGAAATGAGAACGTCGAAAGGAACCCATTCGACTTTGATCGCATCTCCGAGCATAACATCGAGCTTGCGCTGCTCCGGAGTCCCTTGCACACGCTGTTTTGGTCCCGTCAGCCTCCAAGCATCGTCCTGAGGGCGTTTTGTCCAACCTTTGTCACTTCGGCCGCCATTCGAGGGTCGAACTCGATCGCAATGAGCTTCTTCGCCTTTTCGAGAATCCTCACTGTCAAGTTACCAGTTCCCGGGCCGATTTCAAGAACAGTATCCGTGGGCTTAAGTTCGGCTTTCTGTATAGACACACTTAGTGTTTGGTTCGTTCTGGACGGGGGGAGTCTGGGCGTACGTGAACGATCGCATCCGCCACACCGGGGTTCTTCAAAATATGTTGACCAACATTTGTCTATTATAGGAGTTAGTCAAAGATCCAAGACGTATTCTGAAACGCGACGCACGTTGAACTTGAAGACATTGTTCGTCTTCTGAGAAGGTCGAGAGTACGGGCTTCCCGTGGAAGCGGCCGCATTCCGCTTGCCAGCTTTCGCTTTACCCATGTTGCTTGTGTAGACTGTCGCACTATCGCGCTAAATGGAAGAAACTGGATTTCTGACAAGCCGTCGACCTCTGGCGTACAGTATTTTGGTGGCGCGAAGTTTGGGACCCTGAAATCTTCGCGATGTCGAAGTCTGCGGTGAAGATGGAGGGGCAGCCTTTTGGAAATTTTAGTGGACCCTTGTCCCACTACCACCCGGTGCGACAGGGATTGTGCAGCTCAAAAACTTTAGTACCATTTCAGCCTTGCGCAACCAGTTCCAAGCATAGAGCGAGGCCAAACCTCATTTATTGCCTACAAATCCCCCATCAGGCGCGCCCTCTTGATCTTGCTGCCGCACCGAAGAGCCACCTAACCAATCGCCATCATGTCGGGCAGGCGCGACTTTCTAAGCCAACCGGCTCCCGAAAATTACGTCGCTGGTCTTGGTAGAGGTGCCACCGGCTTCACGACGCGATCAGATCTGGGTCCTGCGCGCGAAGGACCGACTGAAGACCAGATCAAGGAAGCGGTCGCCAAGCGCGCAGCACAACTGGGCTTAGGCACCGACGGCAAGAAGGCTGAGGAGAAAGACGACGACGATGACCGATTTAAAGACCCCGATAACGAAGTCGGCCTGTTCGCAGGTGGTGTGTACGACAAAGATGACGAGGAGGCCGACAGGATATGGCAAGAGGTTGACGAGAAGATGGCGAGGAGGAGGCAGAAGCAACGAGAAGCGCGTGAAAAGGCCGAGCAAGACGAATACGAACGAAAGAACCCCAAAATTCAACAACAATTCGCAGATCTCAAGAGAGCGCTATCGACGGTCACAGACGACGAATGGGCGAACCTCCCTGAAGTTGGAGACTTGACAGGAAAAAATAGGAGAAGCAAGCAGACCTTGCGCCAGCGCTTCTACGCGGTTCCAGACAGCGTTCTGGCTGCTGCGAGGGACTCATCAGAGCTGGGCACCACGGTTGCGGATGACGGAGCAGCGTCAAGCTCTGAACAAGCCGACGGGACGATGACGAACTTTGCCAAAATTGGTGCTGCCAGAGACAAGGTTCTTAAATCTAGACTCGAGCAAGCGTCACAGGACGGAACCGAATCATCAGTCGCTGGCAGCGCGTCGAGTATCGATCCCAAGGGCTATATCACCAGCTTGAACAAGAGCGTCCTCAACGAATCGCAAGCTCAGGTCGGCGACATCAACCGTGTACGCGAGTTGTTAACATCGGTGATCAAAACGAACCCGAATAATGCGCCGGGCTGGATCGCCGCGGCGCGCTTGGAGGAACTGGCGGGCAAGACGGTCGCTGCACGCAACGTAATAGCACGCGGATGTACGCATTGCCCCAAGAGCGAGGATGTGTGGTTGGAGAACATTCGACTTAACGATGGAAAGAACGCGAAGATTATTGCCGCCGAGGCAATCAAGAAGAATGATCGATCTGTACGTCTCTGGGTCGAGGCGATGAGGCTGGAGAATGAGCCTAGGGCGAAGAAGAAGGTAATCAGACTCGCCCTGGATCATATTCCCGAATCAGAGGCATTATGGAAGGAAGCGGTCAACCTCGAAGAAGATCCGGAAGATGCCCGGTTGCTGCTGGCCAAGGCAACAGAGCTTATACCCCTATCCGTTGATCTGTGGTTGGCCTTGGCAAGACTGGAGAGCCCTGAAAACGCCCAAAAGGTGCTCAACAAGGCACGAAAAGCAGTGCCCACGTCTCATGAGATTTGGATTGCAGCTGCTCGGCTGCAGGAGCAGCTTGGTCAGGGCACAAAGGTCAACGTCATGAAGCGTGCCATTGCAGTTCTGGTCAAGGAGTCCGCCATGCCCAAGCGCGAGGAGTGGATTGCCGAGGCAGAGAAGTGCGAGGAGGATGGCGCTGTTATTACGTGCGGAAACATTATTAGAGAAACACTGGGCTATGGTCTCGACGAAGACGACGACCGCAAGGACACCTGGACAGAGGACGCACGAGGCAGTATCAATCGTGGCATGTACGAGACAGCACGCGCCATCTATTCCTATGCGCTGCGTGTTTTCGTCAACAGCAGGACATTATGGATGGCCGCCGCCGACCTGGAAAGGAATCACGGAACAAAGGAGTCGCTCGCCCAGGTCCTGGAGAAGGCTGTCGAGGCATGCCCCAAGAGCGAGGTGCTGTGGATGATGTTGGCCAAAGAGAAGTGGCAAGCCGGCGAGGTCGACAACGCCAGACTGGTGCTCGCCAGGGCTTTCAAGTCCAACCCGGATAACGAGGACATTTGGCTTGCTGCCGTCAAGCTCGAAGCCGAGAACGGAGAGACCGAGCGCGCTCGTAAGCTGCTGGAGGAAGCCCGCGACCAGGCCCCCACGGATCGCGTGTGGATGAAGAGTGTGGTTTTCGAGAGAGTGCTGGGCAACAGCGATGCGGCCCTGGATCTCGTCCAACGGGCGTTGCAATTCTTCCCTGCAACGGCGAAGTTGTGGATGCTCAAGGGACAAATTTACGAAGACCTTGGAAAGGTCGGCCAGGCACGCGAGGCCTACAGCACAGGTGCCAAGGTGGTGTCCAAGTCTATTCCCCTGTGGCTGCTTTACTCTCGACTGGAAGAGAAGGCCGGACTTGTCGTCAAAGCTCGCAGTGTTCTCGACCGAGCCCGACTTGCTATCCCTAAATCGGCTGAGCTGTGGTGCGAATCTGTCCGCATCGAAAGACGCGCAGGCAATCTCAACCAGGCCAAGTCTCTCATGGCTAAGGCACTCCAACAGGTGCCCAAGAGCGGACTCTTGTGGAGTGAACAGATCTGGCACTTGGAGCCACGGACTCAGCGCAAGCCGCGGTCACTAGAAGCTATCAAGAAGGTGGACAACGACCCTATCTTATTTGTAGCTGTAGCCCGAATCTTTTGGGGCGAACGCAAGCTCGAAAAGGCACAAAACTGGTTCGAAAAGGCGCTGGTGCTGGACAGTGACAATGGCGACACTTGGGCTTGGTATTACAAGTTCTTGCTCCAGCACGGAACAGACGTAAGTAGCCGCCTTGTGGGCCATCGATTTGACGCTTGTAAGCTAACTCAATCAAAGGAGAAACGAGCGGATGTCATCAACAAATGCGTCTTGAACGAGCCTCGCCATGGCGAACACTGGCAGGCTATTGCCAAACAGCCAACCAATGCAAGGAAGGGAACCGAGGAAATCTTGAAGTTGGTCGTAGAAGTCTTGGAGAAATGAGTTATGTAATAGCATGTGTATCAAACATCAAATTCGGGTCGGTCGGGAAGGATAGAGGAGAAAAGGTCACTTTCAAAATCACCAAGCAAGCAAGAACAATACCACGAGGAAGCCCCATGAACTTTCTTGGAATTGAACATGAGTCAAAGAATTATGATTGATTCGTATTGCGACTCCTAATCCAGAGCTGAGAAAGCAAACCCGATGCCCATTGTCATGATTGATCCATTACGTAGAAGACAGAAGAAATAATCGCCGGAGTAATTATACGACTTATTTGCCGCCGAACCAGCTGGAGATGCCGCTCTTGGCCTTGGCGGCTTCGGTCTCGACGGTCTTGTCAAAGGCGTCGACCTTCTTCAGAGCTTCGGCCTTTGCGTCCTTTGCGTACGCCTCGACGTTGCTCTTGGTGGCAGAGAACTTCTTGTCGGCCTCAGCGACCTAGTGAGATTGTCAGCGATGATTGATCATTGAAGCTATGCTGGAGGCAGGCCGGGCAGAGGTGAACTTACGGCCTCGTCGACCTTAGCACCAACCTGCGCGCCCCTGTTCTGGGCGTCGGGCGTGCGTCCGGGGAGGTGAGACTTGACCTCAGCGGATGCCTTGTGAACGTCACCTAAATAACGCGGGTCAGCACTCGAGACGATTAAATGGCGGCGATGCGACAGGTGAAACATACTCTCGAACTTCTTCTCCGCAGCGGTAGGGTTTCCGCCAGCGCTGTAGAGGTAGTAGCCGACACCGCCGGCGGCAGTGAGACCGAGGAAAAGGGGAGCCTTCTTGGACATGTTGATTGGGTTTGTGTGTGCAGTGTAGGGTGTAGTAGATCTGATTGACGTGGGACTTTGAAGCTACGATCGGGAGAAGCTTGGAGCTATCGTCGTGATTGTGTGATTTGATTGATTGAATTGATTGAATTGGAGAGAGGAGAGAGAGAAAGCAGCCTTCGTCACGAGAAAGAGCAGGATGGCATGATCTATTAGTACCTTACTACCGAATCACTGGCGCCGCAGCTCTTGTCTCATTTCTGGCGCGGTTACAGTCTTTCCCACACGCCTCCTGGCACCAAATCACACCAGTGAGCTGCACTACCGACATGCCGTCGACCTGGGGCAAGCAGGCGAGGAACATTTGGAGCTACGAAAGCTCCGGTTGACGTGAAGGTGTGAGAGATACATGACGTAGAGCGGCATAAATGCGGGGAATAGGAAGTAGCTTCCCCCCAGCCGCTCCTGGCCGAAGAGCTCCACTTGGGGCCGGGACGACGAACTCAGCATGCACAGGCCATCACCTCCAGAGGGGACGGACATGATACCTTGAGATTACGTGAAACCGAACGAGGGATGAAGTATTCGTGACGTACCTCTTCAGACCTGATCCTGGTAAGAGTGCAGCATCCACTGGATCTCCAGCGTCACCTCAGCCTGTCAAAGCTCCGAGAATCAGCTGTCACTTTCAATGTCCATAGTAGTAATGTTTTACTCTTCATTCAGGTCTCCTCACAATTTCCAACGAGCGTAAAGGGTCGTCTCGGCCGGTGATCGTGCCCGTCAAACCGTTGCCTGTGGCCTCAAAGTGCTCCATGTGCTTCAGAGCCAAGTCTGCACGTTAGGTAGCATGACAACACCTGTTTGAGCTGACTCTCTGGCACGCAAAGCTGAGGTGGTGGCTAGGGGGTCTCGACGTTCGCTGGAAAAGCTGGGACATTACATCATCGCCGGAGCTGAGTACGCGACACCTCACAGGCTCACAGGCTCCTGGACTGACTGGCTCGTGGAGCGCTTGAGCCAACCCGTGTTCAGCTTTTGGGTCTAGGCCTCCAAGTCTAGCCAACGCCTCCTGCTTTCCTTCGTTATTGCCATTGCTGCATCGTGCTAGCCTTGTTCAGCGTCCTCCATTTGGCCACTGCCAGCCGATGGTGGTCTAGCCCACGCTAGGTCCGAAGAAGAGGTCCCAATTGACTTCCCTGAATTCCTCGCTCGTCGGACCATCAACCTTGTAGCCTCACATTGGCCTTCTTCCTCTACGGCCTCTTTTCTATTCACACCCGTCAACGGGGCGCGCTTGGAAACATCACTTGGCTGAGTAGATTCGGCACAATGTCAAGGTAGCCCACCCAGACTACGCTTCTGTATTCCACCATTCCAGGGCGAGAGCCGCCAATCACTCCCGAGAAGGAAGCTAAAGCACCTCCGGCCCGGATTCCAATTCTCCCCCCACCAACGACGAACCCCCTTCCACCCTCAAGGGTGCCGTTTCGGTCTCACTCCGGCACTGAGCCTCAGGGCGGCAGCAACACGGAAGCTCTCTGACACCGGGCGAGCGAGGCTGCGATACGGCGTTAGAGCGATGCCTTCCTTTCGAAGCTCTCGTCGGGTCACCGGCTTGAAAGATAGTGATTATGACCACGAGATCAGCCTAGTCAACCATGATAACCGCGGTTCACCGAGCACCGAAAGCCTTAGCAGACCTCCCCGCGCGTCGACCGCTTCGCAGTTACTCCGTGATGATGAGGACACTACTGAGAGTCACGATGCGGAACAAATTGCGGGCCGCAGTACGGAACACAGTACCGATCAGGATGCGAGTACGTCTGGACACTCAGTAGAGCCAGTACAAGGTCAACAGTCGAAAGCCGCTGGGCATCGGAGTGCTCCCACTCTCGAGCCTCAAACGACAACGGCCACCACAGCACCGTCTATCGAAGTCGAAGGTAAGAGATAGCCATGTCCAGTCTGTGGTGTAGGTTCTAATAGTACATGTTAAAACAGAACCCACGCCGATGGAAGGCACAATGCCCGGCAGAAGCAGCAGTCAACGACGGAGGCCAGCCACTGCCGAACGAGAAACAGCCATTGACGTGCTGTGGGAGAACGAGCGAGGCTGCTTTGTTTGTCGTGTTGCCCTGTTTTCCGGCAAGGCTTTAGGCAATCTCGACCCGTCGCCGTGGACGAACCAATTCCACAAGACGAGTCCAACCACGACCAAGACAGCACAAGTACCCGATCCGTCGTGGGAGTGGGCGTGGCCCGAGTGGAAGATACATCGCGAAGAAGGTGTGGCCATGGACGAGTTCGGTTGGGAGTACTCGTTCATGTTCTCCAAGAGATATTCCTGGCATGGTCCGAAATGGTGGAATTCCTTCGTTCGGAGAAGATGCTGGGTTCGCAAGCGCATCAAGAAGAAACCGGAAGACATATCGGAGGACCCGCATATGCTGAACTCCGACTACTTCACCGTCACGCCTGCTAATCACAGCCGTTCCTCTAGCGTGGCACGCAGCCGTCGAGAAAGCGTTAGCAAGGCGAGTGTTCAGACCAGTGTGGCGGAGGAGAAGCAAGATATCGAAGACGTATGGACGCTCATGGCCGTCCTTCGAGGCTCTCGCATCGACCGCGAAAAGATTGAGGCCTTTGAGAATTATCTCGCGCACGCCAAAGACAACCTCGAGCACTTACAGGAGGAGATGCACGATGTTATGGGCATTTTTGTGTTTCAGGCCTCGAGAAGACTACTGTTGAGTCGCTTGACCCAGATTTATGATGAAGCGGTCGCTGCAGATGAAGAGAAGCACGAAGATGCAGACAAGGCAAAAGAAAGAGAAGAGAAAAGGAAACATCTTGCAGCGGCAATTAAGCATGCAGACGAAGAAGTCAAAAGGCTTTCGTATTGGAGCGATGTCAAGGGGCTTGCGGAGAATGGCGAAGCCAAACATGCTGTTGCGGAAGACGAAGGATGGAACGAGGGGTGGGAAGGCGTTGATCAGAGCGGTCCTGCGCAACCCAATTCCGGTGCCTTGCCTGGTTCACCAAAGAAGTAATAGGGACGGGGTGGTAATCATTCTTTTCTTGTATACCCGACTTCATATATACAAATTTGCTAGTCATTGCCCGCGGTACGGGTACCTTGCTGTGAGGTAGTTGAACGAACAGTGCAAAAAGGTAATATTATGTGTCGCTCACACTGTTGTCGGCCGGCAGGGGTCGGGTCAAATTTCTGGGGCCGAAAGACCGGGATCAATCGGCGCGAAGTGGAAATTCTCCTGCGGATAGCTTGCCCGCGACTTCAGCGAAACCGATGGCATTCGTTCCATCACACCAAATGCAACAAATTTCAAGCCCAGCACACAACATGGGCCATTCATAGCAAATGTCCCTGGGAATCACGCTATCATTGAGAGCCCGATCTCACCGTATCGGCTCCTCTGGGATCTCTCCGATTTCCAGGGTTCCTCAAAGATGGTCTCGGGCGCCTCGAGCTCAACTACCATTTCCTCGTCAATGGGTGCACACAGCTATTGATGCAGTCAGGCCCAGCGCGGTTGAAACTTCCCCGCCACAACCTCGAATCGAAGATGAAGGAGCGAAACATGGCGCCAACCCGACCTGCGATACCGCTGTAAGTCCTACCCTGGAACGCCCGATCGCCGAAGACGAAAATATCAAGACGCCACGGAGAGTTGAGAACTTGACGCTGGGTAATGGTCCGGACACAAAGCCGAAGGAAGTACGCAAACCTACGCCGCTTCATCCACTTGATACCATCAGCGAGCGTCGTAAACCTGTTGAAACGATATATCTCCTCAAAGATGCCAGCGAACGCAAGTTTAAACGACCGAACAAGACGAGCCCTACCCAAGCACAGCACGACTCTATACTCGTTACGCCGACGATACGGTACCAGCCGCAGCGAGAATCTCGAGCTAGTGTCCAGCGATTTCACCAAAGCATAACCAGGCAAATTTGGCTCGAGACTGTCCGACAGGTCAAAAAGGGGTCGTTCAGCAACTGGCGCAATACTTTGGACCTTCTTCGACGACAGACCCGGCCTGTCAAAGGGCCCTGGCAGCGCAATGTGCGTAAGATCACAGTCGGGGTTGAACTCGCATATACACTCCTTCATGATGTCGACCACACTATTTGGGATATACACGAACAAACGAGATGCCATATTGAGATGCGATGGCCGAAAGATAAAGAAGGGACACTCAGTGAAGTGGGATATCTTTTCCTCTCGGGCGACGAGGATGCTTTGGAACACGCGAGCCAGGAGATCTCCAGACTTGCTGCTCAAGCCGACAGCACGATCAGCATAGAAGGAGCTATCGGCAGCAACTTCTCTACAACACGACGTGACGAGGTAGCTGGCGCAAGGAACGAAACTGTATGGAAAAGTTCCGAGGAAGAGCAGCGTCCAGCGTATATGAGGGAATACTCACACAAGCACACATACGAAAATATCCCGAAACCGAAGGAATGGACGCCTGATTCATTCTTGGCCTACATAACCGCCATCACAAACGCAAGGATTACTACGCATGACAAGTATAAGATGTACGGTGCGGGCCCTGCTGCAGACAACGCGGCTCTCAAGCTCCTCTTCAGCGCATTCACAGATGAATCTTCGAGACATGCACGGTCGAGGCGCGCCTTCAAACAGGCGTTACGATTTATCGAGCTGCGTGGCAATGCCTATCGTAACCACGCCAGGGACCTTTTCCAGAGCCAGCGGGATGCAACTTTTCCGATGGATACCGGCGTTTTCAACATCATGCTAGAAAACTGTGCCAAGTTAAAAGATCTCCGCAACTTTCACGGCGTGTTAGGGATGATGATTAGCTATGGTTGCCAGCCAAACGCGAAAACATGGGCGCTGTACATGGATATGATCGAGAGCAAACAAATCATTCAGCATGTTCTTCGACTCATGCACTCGCTTGGTCTGCTTTTGGATCCCGGCGTCGTGCCACTCGTCACGAGGCAACTCGTCACGGAGGACATGCGCAAGCTGGAACACAACTGGCCTGGAATCCGCTCATTCCTTGAGACACTGACCGCCAAATACGGTACCGGCTGGTCATCGAGGCCAGTCATGCACGCCATCATGAACGAACTCGGACGCATGGGCAATTTCGCCTCATGCTGCGACCTCTGGGACATCATGGCCGAGTCACGAAATACCTTCCCTACTACGCTCACGCTCAATACGATGCTTCAACATGCGAAAGCCCAACGCCATCTCATATTCGCCACGGCCGCTTTGGAGAAGGCTCACAAGCACTTCGTCTTGATGAACGAGCAATCATACCACATACTCTTCTTCCTTGCCTTTAGGCTCGACAGGCCCAATGCCATGGGCGTCATCTGGCGTTACGCTTGTATAGCGGGCAGAACCAGCTCGGACATGCGCAATCAAATCAGCAACTGGCGGTTCGGCGTCAATCCGGAAAACGTTCTGCAGCACACCATCGAGCCGAATCCTAAAGCCCACGCGGCCCCCTCCGCTCTGCCGTCCTGGTTCGACCAGGACGTAACGGGGCCGACCCAAGTCAACGGTGCCCGGATTAGCAAGGCTACGCACGATTATTTCCGGGAACACACAATGCGGCCTTGGTACCCGCTCCATCAACTTCTTTCGTGGGCTTGGGAAGCCGACGGTAAAATCATCGCAGCGGTCAAGAAGGCCAAGCAGCAGAGCCTGCAGCATTCCCCTCCCACGCCACTGCGTACCGTCACTACGCCGGGAATCATGGTGACGTACCAACGAAACGGGAAGGGCTTACGGACGCATCACATGCAGTTGAAGATTGAGCATGTTGCAGCCACGGATGACTTGCCACCGTCCTATGTTGATGGAACCGACCAAATATCATCATCGTCCGTGAACGAACACAAGACGACAATAGTGCCGACTGATGGTCTCACAATACCAATATTGGCCATGGAAGATGGCCAGCCGCCATCATCTTTTGACCCAGACAGCCAACCATCACCGCTTGTTGACAATTACAAGACAACGATAGTGCCGATTGACGGCCTTACAATACCGGCGACGCAAGACATATAGGCTCAAAATGGGGACCAGAGTCAAAGTCTCTGCATAAGGGGGGGGGGGGGGGGGAAAGGCCATTTCGCAAAACTACTTATATTAGAAATAACTATGTACAACAGAAACCCCTTCTTCTTGTAAGATAGCTAAGAGGCAACTGGGGCCGGGGAGTGCAAAATACCCATAGAATTCTGTACAAAAAGACAAACCTTGATGACAATTGCATATCCCCAACGTGAAGTTGCTTCGTCGAAAATGACTGGCTGGTATAATGTAAGTGTACTGCGTTTATTGAGTCCATGTCTTCGTTACTATTCAGCAGTGCGCTTATCAATTCTCATGAGTAGTCCCAACACAAGACGCGTTGAATATCTTGAGCCCAGTCAGGGAAGATAGACACCTCTTCTCAACAGAAGAAAGGTTAAGGAAGTAGCGAATTTCAAAGTGTCGGTGGGGTTATGCAAATGATCATAAGTAAGCGTGACAACTAGGTAAGCCCGCAGAGGGCTACTAGCTACAGCACGCAAAGATTGAGTCTTTTAGACTCTCTCAACATGCGGCCAGCCCTCTCTCTCCCCCCTTGAGCCGCCGCGACTGCTGTTCATCCCCACTCTGCCTGATCACAACCCTGTCAACGGCCTCCGGGACACCCAACATGATGAGGAAAATAACACGAGAAACATTCATTCATCCATTCCAGCCAAGCCATTGAAAAGTCTCTCAAGCTTTCTTAAAAGTCATACGGATCCGTTGAGTCCGGTCTCTTCCAGGCCCAAGTGCACGCCCACGTCATTCATCAAGGTATAGAAAGTCGACATCCCCCAGCCGCGGAGCTCACTTCTCCTTGCTCTCCTCTGTGGACGCGGGTACTGCGGCCGGCTTTGACTCCTCCGCGGTCTTGTCCGCCGCCTTAGTCTCCTCCGTCTTCGGGGCTGACTTGTCCTCAGCCTCGCTATCCTTGCTGGTTGCCGAAGAGGCCTTGGACACCTGGCTCTCGAGGTCCTTGTCCTCCTCAGCGTTGTCAAACATCTCCGTGTCGTCAGAGTCGGTGAGAACCTCAGTGCCGTCGCCAAGGAAGATGATGCGGCCCTTGTAGCCACCAATGCCGAAGGGCTTGCCCTTGTTCTCCACATCCACGTCGTAGCCGCTGTCACTGTCGTCGAAGTTGTGGTGAACTCCAGGACCGCGGAATTCAGCTAGGTGCAGGTGATGGATCAGCGCTCCTCCTTTGGAAAGAAATTATGGGACACAAAAAACAAACGATGGCTACAAAAAGGGGGATAATGGTTGTATTATGGGGATAGAGAGACTGGTCTCATGATAGTGCAGATGGAGGTCGGCGCGCGCTCAACTCCTTAGGAAGATGTGGATTCGGACGTGGATTCAGTCGTACCGTATTCGGGAGGGGCGCAAGGTCCGTCTCCAGCAGCAACCCGCTTGGCAATCTCCTCGTACCACTCCTCCTTGGTCTTGCCGCGCAGAAGACCAATGATGCACATGGTCATGTTGTCGCAGCCAACACCTCCGGTCTCCGAGTTGGAGGCCAAGCAGTTGTCCATCATGTTCTCGCAGATCTTGTCCAGCTCCTGCTTAGCCGCAATGCCACGACGGACAAACTCGACAACAGCCTGGGAAGACTGGCAATCCCAGATACCTAAGAATTTCGTCAGCCAGTGATTTCTTTCCTTATATCCGGCGCTTCCAGCTTACCGTCGCAAGCAATGACCAAGAACTCATCGTCGTCGCTGATCTCGTGGGTCTCAACGTCAGGGAAGGCGGTGACGATCTGGGCCTCGGGCGAGAGCTCTGCGCTCTTCTTGAACTCGAAGTCACCAATGGCGCGGGAGAGAGCAAGATTGCCGTTAACACGGCCAAAGTCAACAAAGCCACCGGCGGCTGTGATACGGGACTTCTCGGCTATGAGGGGATTTCAGGTCAGCCTCAAGGTATTGTTGCCTTTGCCATGGCCTAGTACTCACCCTCGAGCTGGGGCTTGTGGTCCTGGGACAGGGGCTTAGCCCGTCCCTTGATACCAAGAACGCTTCTCGAGTCGCCAGCGTTTGCCTAGTCGCGGAACGGTCGGTAAGTAATGCGAATACATCGCGCAAAAGCGGACGTAAGCAAACTCACAACGTAGATCTTGTTATCCGAGATCAGGCCAACGCAGGCAGTGCAGCCAGAAACCTCCTCCTCGTACTTGGGATCTGGTACACCCCAAGATTAGCTCATGAATGCAGCGTAAGGGGCAACAAATGGCAAGGGCCAAGACCGCAGCACGGCTTAGCCTCCAGGTACTGCCGGATCCAAAGTCGTGAATTTACCGTTAAGAATTGCCCGATCGGTTGCCAAAAAGCCATCCTTCAACGCCTGTTCGTAGTTGCCCTTCTTAAAGGTCTCCTGCTTCTTGATGATGTCGTGAATGTTCTCTCCAGCGAACAAGGCTACTTTGTCGCCGCCATGTCCATCAAAGACTCCAAAGAAGGAGAGTTTTGACTCGTGTTTCTTGGCTTCGTCGCTGCCGGGGGTGAGAAGGTCGAGGATGGTGATGTGAGCATCCTCCATGCTTATGCGCCAGCCCTGCATGGCAGAGACGCCGTAGAGAAGACGCTCATCTTCGCCCTTGGCCGAGGACTATAATCGTAGGAAGTCAAGTCAGTAGGTTGAACCAAGGTATGTTGAGTTGTAGAGGTACGTCATCGGGTGGACATTGCTGCGAAAAAAGATTCATGCCACCTTGCTGTGTCGCCTGCCCGCGCGAGATCATGGGCAGGAACGACCGAGGCAAGCGGGGGACGGAGGGGACCCCGGAACTGGCTGCGAACAAAGGGGAAGAGGCCGCGAAGGAAGTAGATTGGGTATGAGAGCGTAATGATGGGCAGAGCGAGGGGAAGCAGCGCGTCTCGAGAGAGGTAAGGGTAGCAGTTAATTATGGCATACCTTCTCGACAACGGGCTCGGAGAGAGTTTGACCCATGGTGACGGATGCAATGAGTCGGCAGCGCAGCTACCGGGTTTGACTGGATGTTTGGTCGGTCAAATCGTAGTAGGAAGCGTAAGTCGGTATCGTAAGGTTGCCAGAGAGGAGAATTTTTTCAGAGCCAGTCGTGCGTGCGCAAGAAGGCTGCGGAAAAAAAGAGGCGAGGTGACAGGAAGGTGGTGCGGTAGCAAAAGGTTCTAGATCGCGCACACTCGAGAGGAAGCGGGGTATCCGAATCGCAAGGGAAATGGGCAGGGGACAGGCGTCGATCCCTAAGAGATGTTGGGTCTGCTATCACAGGTGGTAGAGGGTCGAGTTCGGGGTGCGGTAATGCGAGGAAATTGGTCGCGCCAAAATTGTGAGGTTGCGCAAGAGAAGTGAGGGAGGTAGAAGGAGGGAAAAAATGACCCGAACTCAATCGTAGCTCGGTGTGGGTGAGGTTGTGAGTAGGAAGAGTTTTCTGGATGGGTGATGAACAGAGACCAGGTCGCGTGTTGTGGTGAGTGGTGAGTTGGTGTGTTGTAAGGCAGAGAGAGCGTGGTAGCGGCAGGTGGCCCAGGGGCGTACAGAGTTAATGTGCGATACGGAAGGCGCAAGCAACGCGGGACAGCACAGGGCAGGATAGGACAACCCAGCCGCAGACAACAGCCTAGGCACCTTAAGCTGGGGCAAGCAGTTGCTTGGATTGCTGTCCCCGACTTGCTCTACTTTACTTTGGTAGGTACCTTCCATAGCAACTGGAATGGAAGTCGGGACTGAGGTGACTCCAGCGCCGTGGGGAGGCGGTACGTACTACCAACCTCGACCACCACAAAGATACCTACTACCTCACCTTACTTACTCCCCTACCTTACCTACTAACCTACGGAACTAAGGTAAAGCACGGCAGGGAAGGGGCCAGTCTTGCGTATCCGTTCAAAGGCCAGTTGGCGACAGGATTGTGAGGCAAACTTGGGTACGGATAGAAAGGCCACGCTACGGATACCCAGGCGCTTTACCTCTCTGGCAGTACTACGTCTGGGTATGAGTCTGGGTCTCCTCGCGGCATCCACTGCCTTGCACCAACAGCAATCAAATCTGTACGAGGGGTTGGTCACATTACCAGTCTCTCCTCAACTCAGTTCCTTTCACCGAAAGGGTATGTGGGTATCCTTCAACCTTGCCTACTTCAAGTCGCCTTGAACAGTTGTAAGAAAGACCTTGTTCTCAAGGACATATACCACCGAATGAACAAACTTGATCCGAAATTCTAGCGAGCCTTACAACAACGATTTGACAGGCAAAACTGTGTAGGTAGCCAATCCCATAGACCAACGCAACGTCTACGGCCAGAGCGGGATTTGCTTGCGCCTCTCATTCTTACTTGCATATTTCGCCCCAGCAAGACTGGCAACAGCCGCCAGCAGATACCCACGGAGGCACATTGACCCTCTTGGAGGCGGCAAGTACAACAATTCGTCGTCATTGCCTGCCTCTAAGCTGTTTTGTTCAAAAACCTAGCAAGGTTTGCGTGCTACGGATCCGATACGGAACTACCTGCTGAAAAGAGACGAGTTTACCTGCAGTTGCGTCATACCCGACGTCGCGAGCTTACCACAAACAACCTACCGTATCATGCTACCTAGGCGGGCAAAATTCCTCACAAAAGCTAAGGTAAGGCATTTGGCTCGAGGTCCAGGTTCTATTGGACTCTCACTGCCGACATCCATGGAGTTGAATGGCTACGAAAGTCTAGATTTCGGACCATGGGAACCGATGTTGAACTCGGTGAGCACAGGTACTGTTATCTGCAAACCACAACCAAAGCATCAAGAAACACACAGACTTCCATCATCGCGTTTAGTCAAGTCCTACCTACCCACCTGCCATATCTACGGAGACTGCACGGTTCTCATGCAAGGGCCTCCCGCCCCTCTCTCTCTATACCGCCAAAACAAAAGAATCCCATCTTCCCCCCCTCCCCTTTCAGGCCACTTTCAGGCCCTCCCCCTCTCCGCCGTTCTCACTCTTCCCCCCGTTCCCTTCTTGGCCCGAGCGAAGCTAGGACCTGAACAACCAGACATGAATGGACGGTAAATGAGGTCCAAGCTCTTTGCTGTCGCTTCGGGGAATCCGATCTAAGTGACTACCTTAGTGTTAACCCCAGAGGCCGCTTTTCCCTAAAATACCTACCTATCCAATCGTGCCAATCCCAGGCTGGGGCACAGGACAGGCAGGGACCCATGAGGGATGTTGTCTCCACTTTGTCCGGCTTAGCTAAGCTTTCCATTTTGCTGGGTATCTGCCATTTGATGCTGCCGTGGGCGCGATGCGAGCCATGTTGGCCAACCCCCCACATCTTACAAGCCTTTCCGGAAGCACAGACTCGGCGGGATTTTGCTAAACAAAGACACAAAAAAAGGGGTCCGCCCTCTGAGATAATAAACTTTTGTGGCATCGCCAATTCAACATTACGGTCTGGGTTTCCCTGGACAGGGTTGTGGGTGGTGGTCGTTATCTCTTCTCCATACAAAAAATATTACTAGATCCTCACATCCATAATTCCCACTTTCCATCGTCAAATAACGGACTAAATCAAGTAGAAAACATTTGAGCAAGCGACTCTGCTCGGGCGGGTATAACAAAATCGCAAAGACGCTTCTGAACGAGAGACAAGTTATATCGCGGGGCAACGAGGTGTGGCCATCCCACCCATCCTCGTCACCTTTTCTCACATGAACACGCGGAAATCCTCACTGCTGCTGTCCCGCCGACTCCGAGGACCCTTGTTCCCCACTGTTCCGGCTTCCGTCACCCAGCCAGATCCCTCCGACTCGGGCCCTGACGAATATCGCGCCAGCCCTTTCCCCTTGCCCAGCACTTCGCTGCTTGCCCTCGATGATGCGTAATCAGGTCGGTTGCCCGAGGCACGTCGCTGCATGAAAGAGTCTCTATTCCAGCGTCCTGCCATGATGTTGGAGCTGGATGATGATTGCCGTGACAGAGGAGTTTGCTTGCCTACCCGGCTGTCCCTGTTCACTGGCCCGCTCGAGTCTTTCTTGATGATGCTGAGGGGCCGAGGAGACAGCGATGGCGTGTGTCTCATAAAGGGAGAGCTTCGTGTCAATTCCTCGTAGGCAATGCCGAGCGAATCTCTTGGTGGCGGTATCGTCCGCCAATTCTCTGTACCCCTGGCCGATTCGAGGGAATCAGAGTCGTCGCTTTCCAAAATGTACCTGTTGCGCGAGGGAACAACCGACCGGCCGCCGAAGAAGGGGCTTGAATCGGATTTCCTACTGATCGGTCGCGAAACTGAGCCATGGCGCGAATCCGGCCTTGAATCCTGCCGAACGAATCTGCCCCTTCCGGATCCCGACCTCGAGCTGCGAAGACTGCTTTGCGATCCCAGGTCGCTCATGATAGGGAAGGCTTTCCGTGGTCGTTGTGACGGCGAAAACCTATTGCCGTTTGTCGGATTTGAGCCCAATGGCGTTGGCTGTTCTGGGATCGAGGCCAGACTGTCAGAGCCAGAAGCGCCCGGTAGCAGCTGCGACCTGTCGAGGGTCAATCTGGAGGGCTCTCCCCACGGACTCGTATAAGCAAGGTCAGGCGTTGCCTGGATACTGCTTGTTTCCGCATTTATAGATGGGATGGTGACGTCCAGCACGCTCCGGAAAGAATCATCTCGTTGGCCCTGAAGGAAGCCAGAAGACCCAGATAGCACGTCACTCGGGCCGTCGTAGGTGCTCGTCGATCCCTGATGCGTGTGCTGAGGATGAAATAGGACGCCCTCTGTAAGCCAAGATGACGTGACGGACGGGGATCTCGGCGTAGGGCTTCTTTCGGATCCCCTCCAGTATGATGAGCGGTTGTTCGTGTTTGACTGTGACATACGAGAGCCAGTAATAGTCGAAAGCGTCCTAGACTGTCTCATCTTTTGTACAGCAGAGTTGAAATAACCCCTGCTGCGTCGATTGTCTTCAGGCTTCTTCATATCCCCAACCGATGATCCGTCTCTGCTGTGAGACCCTCCATTCATCACAAACGAGCCAGGAACTGGCTCTGATATGCTGTTTTTGAAGTTCTCGTGAATCGATTCTCGCTTTTGCCTCCTCCTCCGACAACATATGATCAACAGAACAACAATGGCGAGGAATAGGAGCGGTAACAGAATCGCTAGTGCGATATAACCAGCTTTCAGGCCTTGTTGCGGGTCGCTTGTGGGCGCGGGATTCGTTGGCTTAGTAGAGGATGTGGGAGAATCGGTGGTAGTGGTGGCTGGCAGAGGTAAGACTTCCAAGTCTGCCGTCACCGTCTCGGTCTCCTCTGAGCTTTTTGATGCCGCCTTGACATTAACTGTAATGTTCTCGGGAGATGTTGTCTTGGGCGGCATTCCCGAAATGATCAAGCCATCGACCTTGACCCAATCTGCCGAGGATTCGATACTTAGATCAATGTCTGAAGGCGTCCATAGATAAGGCTCCACGTCGAATGTGAAGTTCTTTCCCGGTGTCGCCTCGATGCTCAAGTTCGTGTCCCGGAAGATTCGCGTGACGACGAACACCGATAGAATAACGTCGAGAGTGTCGGAGTATACATCCCGAAAAGTGAGCGTAGAGTTTGAAGATTTCGCATCGTCAGGGGGGTTACCCTGGATTTCGAAAGTATTATTATCGACCGAGAGCCAGCTCGGAAGGCCGGATACGGTGAGGTTCAGCTCGGATGGTGTTGTGGTATTTCCATCCAACTTGATACTACCAGCGAGTGCTGTATATGACACATTCGTCCCTCGCGTTGCGTTGATTTCGATGGTAGGTGTGTCTGTTGTCAATCTGTGGGCACCAACAACGATCGAAAACACAACGGATACAGCCGAGAATCCGATAATATCGGAACCAACAAGACTGAAGTCGAATTTCTGGGGCGGCTGGACGAGAGACTCGAATGGTGGTGTTTTCCCGGCAAATGTGAGGCTGCCGGCGTCAAACTTGATCCACGAAGGCAAAGGGCTGCTATCTGCGGAAGTGGCGTAGTAGTTCAACCCATCTCCAGCATAAGAGAACGTGTCCTTGGCGAATGTGAAGGAAAAGTCGGAGGCAGGAGAAGCCACGACGGCAGATGGAGATGATGTATCGCCAAAGTTTTGGATTTGCTCCGATAACGGGATATTGAGCTTGGGCGTAGGTCTCCTCGTCACCACCAGAGTCGCCGTCATCGTAGCAGACCCAGAATCATCCGTTGCAACGATGTCCACCGGGATGCCCACCACTTCTCCTGCCGGAACATCTTTATCCTCGGGAGTCCCAGAAAGCCGGCCAGTGTTAGCATCGATCGAAAGCCATGCCGGCGAGTTCAGTAGGCTGTAAGATAGTCGGGATTGCGAAGAAAACGTTTGAGGTGAAAGAGTGTACGAAAATGGTTCCGATATCCTCGTTGCAGGCGGAAGCTGAGAGTTGAACGGGAAGTAAACGACTGGTACGGCTCCTGCAAGCGCAGCTAGACTCAGGAACACAGACAACATCACGTACATTGCCATGACTGATGGGTTGTACGAAAGGAGCGGCATCTGCGAGCCAGAGGAGCGGAAAACAAAAACAAAATCAATCAGAGAAGAACATGTCAAACAGAAGGTTATCTCATCAGAAATGAGAGAAGCCTAGGACGATGACTTTACCCGTAGAGGATATCCTCGGCGCGAATCTCGTGGTCCATGGCTCTCGTTTTCTGGTGCTACGTGTCTCCCTTCGTGCCAGTGCTCACGCCCTGAGAAGAGAGTCGCGGGTGGGCGCGTCCTCACCAAACTGCCGCCCTTCCATGTGGTCGGTTAACGGAGGGTACTACTTCACTCGAAGAAGCAATCGTTTCAGCGTGGCAAAGGTTCACTTGCCATACTGGGAGTTTAAGAAGGCGACTAATCGAGTACTACATTCCAGCGGCGGGTTGAAGCGCCTCAAGGGTGTTGAGGACAGTTTAGGCCCTGAGGCATAGAGGGAGGCGGGATGAGACATGTCCACTCGGAACGTGTGCTTTGACGAGGTCCGGAATGTATTAGGTGTGTTCTGCGGGTTAGTTCGAGGGTTGATTAGACAGTCCATTGCTTTACATTGGACGGCACATTCGTCAAGCTCATGCGGTCTTGTGCTTGACAGGAGGGTAAGATGGTGTAATTGGTAGTCATTGGGAGAGGCAGGAGAGCAGGATATGTGGTTCCCTGCATATTAGGTAAGCCATACTTGAGTATCCCGCAATATCGGAGTGCAACGAAGGCTTCTTCCGATTTCCACCCACCCACACGAGCCACGCCTCTACCTGTTCAGTGAGGCTCAAATCTACTGTTGTTGGCAAACAAATTGGAAAGAGCGGAGAGAGCAGGACCCTGAACAGGGTTGAGGCAGAAAGCGCGCAGAGAAGAAGGGGCAACCCCGCTTGAGGCAAAACGCACCTCCCCTTATCGGAAAGTCTAGATTGTCGTCGGCCTTAGCAAAACGGACGTTGAAATAAAATAAAAATAAAATCCCATGCAAAAAGGGCCAGCGATACCGCTCTTCCGTGCCTACCATTTTTACCTCTAGCCTCTGACGTTTACCTTACCTTACCTGAGGTAGATCTGCACCGTTTCCCGACAATCACTGCCTGCCTAAGTAGAAAGAGCATCGCTCAGCCGCTTGTGTCAGTCACGCTGCTACCAATAAGCTCAACTTACCTTACCTCGCCTTATTACTTCAAGCTGTTTCCGTGTGCTCCCTAGGCTACTTTTCACACACAATAGCATTATGCGGATTCTCAACAACCCCCTCATACCAGAGAAGATGGAGTCACTCGACCGCTCTCCCTCACCTGAGTTTTCGCCCTTGGCCATCGGCGAAGACTTCACACCGCTCCCCACCTACAAGGCCGCAACTACGTCAGCCTATGACATGTCTGGCCTCCTGTCAACTCCCCTTCAACTCCATGAAGATCTCGCCTCAGGATGCGGCGGTCAAACCTGGCCTGCAGGAATGGTGCTTACAAAACACATGCTGCGCTACCACCGAGAGAACCTCAAGGGCGCGAGAATGTTAGTCACTAAGTCACCTTCTATTGCGTACTGCCACATCTGCTTCTCTTCTCGGCCTCGTGGTCTATCATGTCCTAACACTGGTTCATACCACGCAACATGATATTGGATCCTAGTCCAAGCGCCGCCCTCGCACGAGAAGACATCATTTCTTTGGACTGAGCTAACTCGGGGCTTTTCGGAGCAAATAGACTTGAGCTGGGCGCCGGCGGCGGACTCGTCGGGCTGGCTGTGGCTTTAGGTTGTGGACTGCAGGAAACGCTGTACCTCACAGACCAAGACGAGATGTTCGAGCTGATGGGACGGAACACCAAGTTGAATGGCCTCGAAGATAAAGTCAAGCCCAGGATCCTGAACTGGTGAGTAACTTACCCTCAGCTCGCTTGATCCCAGCCGTGCGCATCCACCCCCAGAGGTTCGGTCCGGGTGACTTGGACGCCACGGGTGCCAAAATGGCTATGTGCACGGTAGAAAACCTAGGGGGCTTCGAGATACTCGAGATGCTCGAGACCCTCAAATGGGTTCAAACTCGCGTGGTCCACGTGAACGTCCGAAGGTGTTCTTCTGCAGGAAACTCAAAGGGACTCGGGCTCCCGTTCGGCTGATGTACGGATGACTGATCAATAATACAGGGGCGGACCGCTATCTCAAGAGGTTGTCGATTTCAAGCCCAATGTCATCCTGGCAGCCGATTGCGTCTACTTCGAGCCGGCATTCCCACTCTTGCTGGAGACTCTGACGAACCTGTTAGCCTTGGAACCAGACGCAGTTATCTACTTCTGTTTCAAGAAGAGGAGACGTGCGGATATGCAATTTCTCAAGAAGGCACAAAAGGCGTTCTTGGTGACGGAAATCGTCGACGAAGATCGCCCTGTCTTCAGCAGAGAGGGTCTATTCCTCTACACTTTTGCAAGCAAGAAGCCGACTTCAAACGGGAACCGAAAGTGATGAGATTTGATGTGATCTTTAAATGGCGGCCCATTTTCTGGAGCGATAGAACATCGTGCCTCGGCCGCGGAACACCAGGTGTTCCCAAGCACGAAAGCTCCTTATCGGTTGAAGAGACTCTGCTTCTGCTGGACAATGGCATAACTGCCAAAACAATCCAGCCATGAGTCAACAATAGAGGGAACGTAGTAGCAAGCAAGGTTGAAGATGGCCGTCGGAGATGATACAAACATATTGGAGACCGTCATTCGGCCATTCAAATGGCTTAGCCAGCGGCACAATGACAGACCGCAGAAGAGCCAGATGATGGCGAAGCTTGCACGTGGTTCCTTGATAGCGTTCCGGACCCCGGCAAGCAAAGACCAGCTTGCGGTATCTCGAGTGCGTGACTTTGAGCCACGGCAATTGTGCCCCGGAACTTACGTCAACATCAACGCCGGATAGCAGGGACTTCCATCCGTATCGTCAGCGAGATGGGGAACATCAATCTCAATATCCGTAGAAAGCAATTCATCAATGCACCATTAATAGTTTACATGCCATGTTGATCGACAGGAACGGTGGAGACGATGGAGCGGGAGATAAAAACAACCTGGAATGCGATATTCGACTGCTCTGTCCGGGCCATCAGTCTGCACAAGTATTACTCGACTTGCCTGGGACTATCAAGGATAATTAGATACAACAGCTGCTGCGGCCGATGTTTGCTTCTCTGGTGACCTGGCCAAGTATCGCAACTTCAACGTCCAACACACCGGCAACGGGAGTGAAGAAGGTGTGAGGGGTTTTCTTCCCTTGTTGACCTTCAGCCAGCTGCAGGGCTGCTGCACGCCCTTTAAGGGCTCATCCAGTGAGATGCCAGAATGGAAAATCTCTGCAGGTTTGGCGCTCGTGGAACGTGGTCCGACGTGTTAGAATATCCACCGACTACTGCAGGTTGGTTGGCAAGCCCGGAAGCGGCAGAATGGGCCCCCAGAGAAGAGGCATGTCGTGTCAGATCAAAAAGGAGAGGGAGCGATTGAAGGGAACCAACAAACAATATCCCACGGCATGGCTTGCAAGAGCTGGCTGCTGGCCCAGTGGGTGAGTGGTTAAAGTGATGTGGCATTGCCTGAGCTGGCTGATCGTCCGGGATCAGAGCCGGGCCAGGGGGCCAGACGGGCTGTGAAGGTTGCGCTGAGAGAGGGGGCTCAGGGCAAAGTCTAATTGTGATTGGCGCGTACCTTGCAGCTGCAAGGAACCCGTGCAGGCTGGGTTTGCTCGGAGCCGTGGGCGCTGGACGTCGCCTTGTTCGGTTCTATTGTTGCATCGTTCCTGGAATTCTGCCTGTTCGTTTCTCCTGCCATTTTCTTCTTCCCCCTCCGGCCCTTTCCCAAGCAGCCAAATTCCCCCCTTCCTTCCTTCGGGCTGGCAGGTGCCCATCTGGAGCCTCAGGCACACACAGTATACCTTCAGAAGCCTTGTTGGTGTTGCCCTCGGTCTCTCTTCTCTCGCGACTTGATGTTCCAACGACGGCCCCTCGGCACTGGCCTGGACTTGAGGAATCATCCACACATGCGCTGCAGTGTGGTGCTGACGTTAGGTACGGATATGGATACCTACGCTCACGGGGGCAGGCGCGGCGTGGCAAGGTAACATCCCCAAGTTCTCGACCATTGTTTCTCAATGTTTCCATGCGCGCACAGTCTGTTCAATGTTACATCGCAGCCAACCGCCATGGGCGCTGGACACTGCTTCATCCGACCAAAGAAAGAAGAAGCAAAAGAAGCACTGGAATATTTTCTGTCTTTCCAGCGCGGCAACGAGCCGTTCACATTCCAGCAAGACGTCGCAGGCCTCCGCGCAGCACAGAGTACCTTACCGAATGTGCGTAAAGATTGGCGGCTGACAAGCAGGTACCCGTTCTCAACTGCGGTACTCTCTGGGCCCCCCCGGAGCCACCGGCTGATCGTCATTCTTTTGCATCCAGGATTCCCAAGGAGGGTGTTCAACGGTGTTCGGACCCTGGCACTGCCTGGGCCTCTTCGCCCCCCCGCCCCCTTGGACTCTTGACTTGCGAAAAAAGCTGGAGCCCTTTTCCCAGTTTCCGCGTGTTTCAAGGAACAAGCACCTGTCCGACGGTTCGTCCAATCATGCAATGCCGGGGAAGGAAACAAGATGACATTGTGACAAGCGACAAGGCAAGTTGGACAGAGAGATTTGAGTCCGTGGAGAGACGAAGTGAAAGGTTGGACGAGCGGGCAATGGCAAGGACATGGGATGGGGTCACTGGGGACAAGGGAGCGTGTGGTCAAGCCTTTCACCCATCAGCCGTCTACCGCGATCAAGCGGTTGTCGCGACAAAACAGCAGAGCACATCAGCTGGCAAAGATCAGAACAGACCAGACCAGCCGCGAGGGAATCGGTATCGGTAAGGCCCTAGAGACATGTGATGGGCTCAGTGCTTGGCTATGTGATGCTTGCTGACTTGGCAAGACTTTACGACTTTCGGCTATATCCTTCCGCCCCCGAAATCCAAGATCCATGGCCTGCGCCTCGCTGCCCACCTCGTGTTGTCCGATCTTCTTTCCACTTCCCGATAACCCAATTGCCGTCCATACGACGATGGTTTCCTCTCAGTCCCAAAACGAGTCACGACGCTGGCAGTTGCTGGTTCAATGGCTGGCCAGAACGATGTACGGCTTACGTTTCCTCGGCACCCAGTTCCGCTTGTCTGATGTCTGGGTAGTGTGCAGTAGTCCGCCCTGCTTGCCGTGACTAACGGCTTGACTTCCAGACAACGACAGTTTTGGGGTCCTGGGGTTGGTTAGGCGAACGGCCAGCAAACATCAAAGATGGTGGATCGATCGAGCCTTGTTGGAGGGTCAAGAGGGGGGCCACGCCCGTATCAAGGAGTCGAGTCCATCCCCTTCAAGGCTACGAAGCAAGCCCGGCCCGCCAGAAATGGCCCGAAGCACGTCTTTTTGTGTGAGGATTGTCCCTTGGTGGACCGGTGCCAATGATGCAGCGAGCAGGTAGGCCAAGAGGCTGCGCTAACGCATCCAACGGGCTATTCTCGCACCCCCATGGACCGTTCAAGTTGCTTTTTCTGTCTTGGTACGTTCTTTTTTCGGACGTCCAGCCCCAGAGCCAGGGTCAACGAACAATAGCTGCCGTGAAGTCACCACCTCAGCGACGATTGACGACTCGCAGAGAGACTGCTTGGGCCAAGAGGGGCCACCAGTACCACTGGGTTCTTCTCTCTGCACCTCATCCTGATGCCAGGCTGGTCCATCTTTGGTGGCTGCTGTTCTCAGTGGAGGTCTGCAGTCGTAACCCCACTTTTGCTGTTTATTCCCTCTCGGGGCTTTTGCGACTTCTGTAGGACGCTACCCGTCCCTACGGTGCGGCCCTGGTTGTGCCTGGGCAGCGCTTCCATGCCCTCTCAGGTACCGATGGCACCGTCAACAGCTCCTTCGTCACTTGGTTGGGCGAGAGGTGGTGGCATTGGATGAATGGTGCCAGCGCTAGCAGTACCTGCAGGCCTCCTCCTCCACCGCGCACACCCCCTGAGCCCTGCTTTCTGTGCCCACCCTCTTCCCACCTCGCCCAGTCTCGCCAGTCCCGAAGTGGCTCACCTGTGCCTGGCCCTGTGGTCTGCCCTGGATGTTGCTGTCCAGGACTCCAACGTCTTGTTTGTGTGTGTGCCTGTCGTCTGGTGCAGTTTTCGCGTGCCGTACAAATCCCGGTCGACATCCGCTTCCTAGTTTCATACACCTTTTTTGATCTTTCTTTTTCCTCTCTTTTCCTCATCCAACAACGCTCCCTCTTGTTTGACCACAAACCCATTCATTCATTTTTCTTGGACCTTTGAGCAGTGCTCGACCAACTATCAGTCCTACCAATTCATTCCTTCACAGAAGACTGTTTCGAGGTTCATCCAAACTACCAACCAACGGATTCATCCCGTCTTGTCGTCACACAGAGAGTTCAGTGAACTCCCTTTTCATCCCAACTCTACAGAACCAGCCTGCCTCAAAACAACAAGTACATACCAAGGACTGCTCCGAGCTCCCATCGACAACCTTGAACCCAACCAGGCTTCCCACGCTGTAGCAAGCACATTCCCTGATCAAGAGGCTTAGCCCATTGCATTCATTTCGCTTCCAACTCCACCTTGACGGAAAGGACGATCACCAACTTGACTATCAAGAGACCATATAAGTCTCCTGAATCACACGAACCAAAACCACTTCGACTACCAGCCAACTGTCTTCAAGCCAAAATGAAGACCGCCGCCTTCCTCTGCGCCGTCCTGGCCACCACCGCCATTGCCCAGCCCCATCAGCATGGAAGCAAACGCCGCCATGTCCACGGCAAGCACCAGAAGCGGGCCCTCGTCACCGAGTGGGTTACCGAGACCGCCTACGTGACCGAATACGTTGATTCAACCGCCACCGTTTGGGTTGAACCCGAGGTCTCTTCAACCAGCTCGGCGCTTCCTACCACTTCCGTTCCCGCCCAGTTCTTCGAGCCCGCCGACCAGCCGTCTTACACCACCTTGTCAACCTCCACCAAGCCTTCCGCGGCTGCTTCTCCCATCAAGGAATCCATTCAGCAGCAGGCGCCCGCTCCCGTCCCCACCACCACCTCTACGCCCGTCCCTGCTCCCCAGACCCCGACTCCCGAGCCCGTTCCGACATCAACCTCTGTCTACGTTGCTCCCCCGCCGGCTCCTACCACGTCCACTACTCCCGCGCCCGCGCCTCAACCTACTACCAGCCAGGCCGCTCCCGCGACCACTTCCGCTGCTTCTGGTGGTTCCGGCGGTGGTTCCGGCGGCAACACGCGCACTGGTGACCTGACTTACTACGCCGTTGGTCTTGGCGCCTGCGGTGAGGACGACAGCGGCAAGGACAACACCGAGAACATTGTTGCCGTCTCTGTCTTGGTCATGGGTGCTCTGTCCAACGGCAACCCGTACTGCGGAAAGAAGGTCCAGATCACATGCGACGGCAAGACCACCACAGCCACCGTCCGCGACAAGTGCATGGGCTGCAAGGCGGACGATATTGACGTCAGCGAAAAGACCTTCCTCGACCTCTTCGGCGACCTCGGCGTTGGTCGCGGAACTGTCGAGTGGAAGTTCCTTGACTAAGAGGCGCACTGGTGCGCGCTCTCGCTCCAGCCTCCCTGGGGTGCCGCGGGTGCTTCATCGTCTTTTGCCATGCCGCTTCCCAGTGGAGGTGCCGCGCTGATCACCCATCATGGCAGTTTCTCAAGACAGCCATTTTTCACTCGAATCTCAATAACAATTATGGTAACATTTCACCACTCTTGAATGGGGACGGCGCCTGGTTCACAGCACGGGACTGGATTGGATAACAAAAAGACGACGAACAAAACTACGGTTTTGATGACGTGATGACAAATATCTCTATACCTGTGGATGCATACTCCATTCGTGGGTCCATCATGGGCGGATGCATTTGGTGTTCTGTTTGTGGATATGCTTGTCCACCGGTCAGTTTCTAAACTTAACTTTCAATGTATATATCTATTAGGGGTGTTTACCGCCATACGGTATCCCCGAATGGGCTATTGGGACCAGTGTGGTTTCCAGGACGAAAATAAAAAGTAGAAAAATCCCATCATTGGAACTCGATCTGCACTCCCACTCTCCGCGTTTCCTGGACAATCGGCCGAGTGACTGCCTTCTGCCATGTCTTGGCATTTTTCATGTCTGACAACGTTCATGAGATTCTCCTCGACCATGATGACATTTGACGAAATGCTATCTATGCACCCACCTATCGTAGGCGATGAGGGGCAATCTTAGCCTCTCACTGGTTCGCAAAATGACACAGTTAAACATTCCAACGACCAGCTCAGGTGACTTCCTGAACTCCAAAGAGGGCAGAAAAAGCAAATATCGCCCAGCCTGGCAGAGACATTCTGCATCGCATCTGTTACCGTGGCTGCGTTAGTCGTCGAGCCCCAAAGGCCCCTCGCCGCCCCGTCTCTGGAGTCTGCGGAGGCGATTGTCTCTGATACCTAGACTTGTACGTGTCTCGCTCCGCAACGATCCGGATCGTCCTGGGCCTGTCCAGCGAGCCGGGCGGCGTGTAGCATTCCTCGTCCGAGCCGCGCCCCCCTTCACCTTTGACTTGTTTAGTAAAGTCTGGTTTCACGAGCCAGTGAGACAGAGAAACAGAGAAAGGGCCTCAGTCCAGTCACATCTTTGCAATACGCCTTGCCCTCGTTGTTGTCTCGTCTTGGCGAGGGAAGCTATTCACGAAGTGTCGGAACCCCGTCGAGGTGGTAGGTGAAGTCTAGATGATCTATTCAATGCCACAGATTGGGGACTTCCGTGGCTGCAAGAGCTTCGCTGCAACGAGGATTATGTCGAAAACTCGCAGTCAGACTATGCCGTTTATACACGCTCCTATCCCGAAGTTGCACAGAGATGAGCCATGACAGGTAACTCAGTCTACAACAAGAACATATCCAAATCATCCATCTCCTTGATGGAAGGCAAAGCCCTCGCCTTCTCGGCCCTCTCTTCACTAACCAAGAACTCCGCCGGAAGCTTCTCCTCCTCGCCCGCGTCACCGCCCTTGCTGACGCCGCCGCCCATCATCATGCTCGCCACAGCCCGCCCGCACAGCGCGGCCTGCGGCATCCCGTGCCCGGTATACCCAGCGCAGACCCACAACCCTTCCCCGCCGCCGAGGCCGGTCCCGGCGGGCACCTGTCCGACCCACGGCCTCCCGTCACGCGAGAAGGCCATGATGCCCGTCCACTCGTGACTCGCTTCTAGCTCCTTCTTGCTGTGGCTGGTGGCGCTGTCCTCATCCTCCTGCGTCTGCCCAATTCCCGCGGCAGTACCAGTATCACTACCAGTAGTAGCAGTGCTAGCAAGGTCGAGATTCCTCGCCCCAGCCCGCCTCAAATACGAAGCAACAACGGGGTCAACCTCATCATCGTCAGAAATACCCACCCCGCGCAGCGTCCCGTTCGCCCGCCCCCCGCCCAGAATCATCTCTAGCCCGGGGCCGGGCCGCTGTATGAGGTAATCATCCTGGTTCGGCTCACCCTTAGCAGCGTCGGAGCTCGCCATGAAGACGTAGCTCCTCCCGAGCTCGGCGCGCGGTCGGGGCGGGAAGAGGGCAGCGACCTGGCCTCGGACGGGGACGACGAGGTCCGCGAAGCGGGGGAGGAGACGCGAGGTGTAGGCGTTTGAGGCGAGGAGGACTTGACGGGTGGCGATTTGCCCGCGAGGGGTATGGAGGATCCATGACGGTGTGCCGGAGGGGGTGGAGGGAGGAAGGTGTTGGAGGCGGGTTACGGGCGTGGAGGTCTGGATGTTGAAGGAGACACCTTGCCTGTCGTTCCTCGTCAGAGTGTCATCGTCAGCCCTGTCGACTCCAAATCTGCGCAGCAGATCCTCAAAGATCCACGTGACGAGCTTGTAAGGCCACACGCTCGCCGCCTCCTCCTGCACGACGGCGCCGACGGCGTCCGGGATCCGGAGGTCTGCGAGCTCTTCCGCGTCGGTGACGAGGCGAGCGAGGGACGCGAAGCGGGGCGGCAGCGCGGCGATTTGCTTGCGGGCGGCGTCGACGAGGTCGGGCGTCAGGAGGGCGTGGACGCCGCGGAGGGAGACCCAGCCGCAGGGTATGGCGTTGGTGGCGATGAGATCGCGGAGGTGAGCGTAGTTTGCGAGCTCAAAGGTTGCGATGGCGGTGTTTGGGTTGTAAGCTACCGGTTGGCAGTGGCCGCCGTTCTAGATGATCAGGTTAGTTCTGATGGTTTCTCCGTAAGACTTTTGGGAGGGTTTGGGATGTTCATGTGAATAGTAAGGCGTATATGAGCGAGTGAGATGACGGTAAGAAGCCGGCGCTCTCGTGATGAACTCACACCCCTCTAAACCCCTCCAAAGGACGGAGGAACCTCCCCCCATAACGAGACGTTCTCAAATCACACAAGAAATCAAAAGAACTCACACGTCCAGTAGCCCCCCAACAGACCTCTCGCGCCTCAAGCAGAACAACCCTCTTCCCCTCTCCACCAGCGCGGGCATCAGCCCGCTCCAGCAACTCCTTGGTAGCGAAGGCGCCCGTGATGCCGCTGCCGATGACGACCACGTCCGCGGTCGGCGGCAGGTCCCGTGTGGTCCTGTGGCCAAGCAGCGTCTTGGAAGGCTCACGGTGCCAGTACGACGCCGTGCTCTTGGCCGAGGGCAGGTCGGCTTGGCCTGGTTGGAGGGTTTCGCCTGTCATTGCTTTGCTGTTGAGGGTTAGAGATGCTTGGGGCTTCTTATCGGGGAGGAGGGGTTGTTGATAAGCTTTCTAAAGCCGCGATGTGCCGTCTTCGAAATGATGCGTACTGGATGTCAGAGACTTGTTACTGCCAGCCCGAAATTCTTTGTAAAATGCAGTGGTCTAGGTTACTATTTATGTGATGTTGGCCGCGTGAGCTGGTCGGTCATGTGCTTGAGTGAGCAAGGTGGTGATGGTGGTGGTTGATCATAGGTCGCCGCACATGTGAGGTCGGTCGGCCTTGTCTCTCCGGCCCTTGCACTCCTCTCACCGTACGAAAGCCGAAACGCGGCATCATCGACACACGTCCACGACCTGCGTCACTGCTGTCGTGGAGATCCACAGATTGCCAGGTACTGCAGATACGCGTTTTTCAAAATATGCCAAAAAAAAAAAATACAAGTGTCATCAAAAGATTTGACATTACTGCCCGACTACCGTACCAATTTTTAAGGGTGGAAACGCCAATTTTCTCTATTGTGCCATCAATCCATTGGCCACCCGGAGCGCCGCAGCCGTGAATGCCGCAGTGCACACTGCCTGGGCCAGCGAAGGTCATATCTACAAGACAAGAGTACGCTAAAGGACGTAAATAGCGTAGAAGAAACACCTCTCCAACTCTTTTCTCGTTTCTGGTCCGTGGGGTCGTAATTTGGTTGTTGTCGCTTAACCCTGCATCTTTCTTCTCTTTCCGATCTGGGCGGAGAAACCGGTCTTGATGGCGGTGACGGAACGTCTCGAACCGCAAGAGTTGCAAGTAATGAAGTACAGACGGTTCTCTCCCTTGGACAGCTCGGTGTCGGCGGACTTGCCTGGGGTCGGTTGTCAGCGATTGCATCGAGAGGAAATGGTGGGGTATCTTATTCGTAAGCTTACAGGTCTTGCAGGTGACGTACTCGACTGTAGGGAAAGAGAAGAACTTTGGTTAGCATCTACGCGGCAGTGAAGATCAGGCTCACAAAGCATAGACTCACTGATGTACTTGCGCAACACGTTCTCGAGCTGCTTCTGCTGGAAACGACCCTTGATAACAAGGCGTCTGCTGCCGTCGACGGAACCACTGGTACCCAATTCGGAGAAGAGGTAGGCCGTGACGTGCTCCTCGGTTCTCTTCATGCGCTTGCAAATCTCGGCAATGTTGGCAAAAATGGTCTTCTTGTTGCCTTCACGCATGCATTGCGGGGGCGGGATCTTGTAGCTCTTGGAGCCGCTCAGGGCGTGGTCGGGGTTCTTCTGAGACAGCTGGTGGAAGAAGCGGTTCAGGAGCAGGCTGTAGCTGAGGGCCTTAGTCTCGTCGTGCTGCCAGATACCGGTGCCTTGGTCCATGTCGCCATCGTCGGCGGCACCCTCAGCCTCGGCGCCCTCCTCCTTGCCCTCGAGCTCAAGGGCCTTGAGCTTAGCGGTGAACTCGTCTTCGTCGCCGTCCTTGACAATCTTCTTCTTCTTCTTTTTCTTGATCGACAGGTCAAGACCGCCGTCCTCACCAGCGGCAGCCTCCTCGGCGTCGTCACCTTCCTTGGGAACCTTCTTCTTCTTCTTTTTCTTCATTGACAGGTCGAGACCGCCATCTTCAGCAACATCGGGGACAGGGGCCGTCGCATCTTCGGCTCCAGCTTGAGAATTGGCATCAGCATGTAAGGCTTCAAGGGCTGCGGTAAGCGGCGGCGTACGGGGCGTGTGCGACTGGGCTGTCTCCTTGGGTTCCTCGGTGGCGTTGACCATTGTGACTGAGCCGTCGGCGTCGACTACTACTTGTTCGTCTGTAAAGGCAACGGATTTGCGCTGTTTGCGTTCGGGGGCGGGAGTGGTATCCTGTGGGGGGAGGCACCTATGTTAGAAAACGATATTCAATGATGGTTGGGGGGGTTTTTTTTTTCTTCGTTTGAGGAATTGAGAAAAAACTGGATCAGTAGAAGAGGGGACGGGGGGTCGAACAACGGTCAGGTGGTGATGATGTCCAGCAGCTCGGGCGATTTGACAGAGGTTGAGTCACGGAAAATGTTCTGTTCAATTCGTGTCTGGTTCCGGTTCGCAGTGGGGTAATTAAGCATGGGATTGGTGGAGGGGCCAGTGGGTGGTGGTGCTCAGAAGTGCGCATGAGGGAGGGCTAGCAACGGTAACTTACTTCGACATCCATGATTGCGGCCTGTGTCTCACTGAACCGAGTCTCGGTTAGGTATCCTGGGGCGGCGCCTGGCGAATTCCTTTTGGGTTGGTATTAATCTGGGCTGGTCCACGGTGCGACTGAACGAGTCTACTGTCGGCGCGATATGGTGCAGAAATCCCAAACGACCGGTCTGTGAAATGGCGGAAGGAAGCTGGCTGTCTGTGGTCCGTCACAAAATGGTTCGGTAATGCGAATTTGTGAGAGCAGAGTTGAGAATTGGCTGCAGCAGTTGGGAGATTTTCTTGAGGGGGTGTGACGTGAGGGTGGTGGAAGACGACTATCTTTGCCCACTGTGAGGTAGCGGCTGCGCGCCCGACAGGCGAGGGTGGGCTGTGACTCAGTGATTGCACGTCTCACGTGATCTCGAGGTGACTCTCTCTCTCTCCGTTTATGCCCGTTGCTGTCTGTCACCATACCCCCTCGCCTCCAGCGTCAGTGGGACCCATCGAAAGCGACTTGTAAGCCAATTATAATCGAGGTTCTCAACGTCTGCGAGTGGCCGTCCCGATTGCCGTTTCTAGTTGAGGAACGGGGGGGAAGAGAGCTCCAGGCGTTCCGATCTCCGCTGTTGGCCCATTCAAGCTGCACCGGCATAAACCATTGGAGAGACATCGCGGACCTTGAATCAACTCTCCCCCGCGAACGCCCATCAAGAGGGTCGTCTTGTATCACAACAGCTACGAACATCAAACGGGCGCGTGCAAGGGACAGACTCTAGCTATTTCCGAAAAGCAGCGTGCCGACCGAGTTGGAAACCCTCTTCCCCCGATTCATTCAACGCACCTGGACCCAAGAGCCGAGCTGCCGACATCCAAAGACCGACGAAGCCTACCTTACCCCGACATGATGGCATCCACCGACTCCTTCATCCTGCACGACGACGTCTCACCTTCCTCCGATAACGACGAGATTGACTCCCTGCCTTCAATATCGAGCAGCGTGCTAGACTCCGAGGATGATTCAGACGCTCAGGAGGAATGGGAGCGTAGTCTGGAGCAGGTCCAGCTCCTCTTGACCATGATCATTGTACCCTTTGCCGGCAAATACTTTGGTCGCAAGTTTGCATACTGGAGTAAGCACCGCCCCAGTTTCTAAAGTCTCTTGTCGTTGTTCAAGATGCTGACGCGGTATACCCCACAGGCTGGTCACGATACATGGAATGGATGCACAACGTCGAGGTGCGGTGGACGAACAAGGGCGCCTTCAAAGCCGCCGGCGCGGCTGAGGCAGCGGCAACATTATAAGAAGCGTATTTGGGGCTTACTGGGCTCTTTGGAAAAACGAGACTTTGGGGAATCCACTCTCAAGCCTGCAACATCCTGCATGGTGTTCGGCGTGTATACATGGTTGGCGTTGAGGGCAAGCCGTCATAGAAGACTAGACGGCACATCTTGAGGCGAGGCATCCAGCCCGGCCCAGAAAACTAGATCTAAATCGAACATTTGAACGAACATATCCGGCATATTTCGATATTAAGGGAGTGCAAGGCTCATCTGGCTCACGTTTGTAGTGAGTTTGATCTCCAGGTGACCAGTCCTGGAGTGCACATATAAACCATGTCCTTTGATTCCGAGTAGGCATCACAAGCAGTGGGAAGTAAAATAATTGTTGTGGAATGGTATCAATTCGTCATTGCACTACAAAGAGCTGATGATGGCTCTATGGCCAATACCCCGGCTCCGAAGGCACTGTAAGCCCCGCCGTATCCATGACAGTATATCCATGTCGTCCCATATCCATATCCTGTCAACCATTACTACCACATACCATCGTGAAAGGTAAAGTAAAACAATAACCAGCCGCCAACGCCGTTAGGACTCAGTGGTCTTCCCGCAAGTGTTGCGAAACCCAAACATCCTACCCAGACGTTCTATCCAGTTCCATACCCCGTTCCCGTTCTATTTCATTTGCGGAATCTGCGCCGCACATGATTGAGAGAGCCGGAGGCTTAGACGCCGACCTGAGCCATGCTGGGGCGGGAGCTGCGGACAGAGCCACCGCCGCGACGGAAGTTCATAAAGGTGAAGAAGCCTCCTGCGCAGAAGCTGGCAAAGAGGAACCACATGAAGACGGTGCTGGCCTGGATTTCGCGGCAGCGCTTCTCATCGTCCCCGGAACCCCAGACGATGTAATCGCTCGGTAGGTCGCTTCTGTTCAAAGAGCCACAGTTGACTGCGCGCAGCTTGGCGGAAAGGACAATGGCGTCGATGAAGGTGAAGAGAATGGCGGCGCCATCAAGGGCCAGCATTACAATGGGAATGGCGATGGCCGAGACAAACGCGGCGGCAAGGCCGTAGAGAGCCGCCAGCCAGCTGAGGACGGCGACGAACATGGAAAAGTTGATGGCGGCCATGGCGGAGCCGGCGCTGTTGATGTTGAGGGCGATGACATTGCCGATCAGTGCTGTGACAAGGAGGACCCAGAGGATCTGTACACCCCGGACGAGGACCTGCAACATTGATTCCATCATGTTGGGCTGATTGTGTATTGTATGTCGTGAATGTTCGGCAAGAGGATCTCAGATGTCTAGAGAGCTTGAGGGCCGAGAGAACGGTCTTCTATGAGCACTGGAATGTGTAATTGGTGTCGATGGCTTGTTTATAGCAGTGTCTAAGACGAAGCTGGATGTTGTGGCGTGACTGGTGTTTGATGACGATGGTGAATCTTTGTTGGTGATATTGCCAAACCAACAACAATGAGTTGATTTCGGACTGTAGCTGTATGTGTGTGAAGTGGAGGAGGACAAAACCGAAGAGTCCTAAAGGGTGGCGTGGAACAAATAACACAGTTCTGGATCTGGACTTTGGTTGTCGGGTGATTAAGGTCGTGGCGGAAAGGCAGTCGCAATGAGCAGCAGACAAGGGTATCTTTAATAAGTTGGGAGGGTGGGATGGGATCGGTCGAGGAGGGTTCTTCCCAGGCAAAAGTCAGTCGGACATGGATGGGAACCTAACCTAAGCCTCTACTGCGTAAGGTGAAGAAGAACTCTTTTCGGCACCGGGCATGGACATTGTGCGCTGCTGCGGAAAGCTGCGCGCGGACAAGGAACAAGAGAGCAATAGAGCTTCGATGATGGATCGGCACTTGCGGGAACTATGACCTCACCAGCCAATGTCTTTCCTTCACGCGCGCAAAATACAACACAACACCAACAACACTAAAAGGGTACGTACTGCTGGCACTTGTGCCTCGATGTACTTACACACGCGCACACGCAAGACACTGTACATGACACCGTTCTGTAGGGCGCGAGCTTTCACGCATTGCTTTGCAGCTTCAAGCTTGACATTGCTCGAGCGCCTGACATGCCTAACGCGGTCCAATGGCATCATCCAAGGGTCCAAGACGGCTCCGACGATGCCGCTAGACGGCTTGGACGAGACCGCGTTCAGCCCAACGAATCCCTGGGACATCCGCGACCGTCATACATTTCGCGCCCACCGACCTGCCCCGTACTGACGGAAAGGGCATATCCAACTGGCAATAACTAGCTTCTGAAACCAAGGCAGTAGAACTTTGCAAGGGGGGGGAGTAAAAACTCGGAGCTGAGAGAGACCTAGGAGAGAGATTTCTTACAGATGGTGGCGCGTTTCCGGTGGCGCCTCTCCCGACGTGCCCGAAAGCCGTGGACCACTGGGCCCTCTTCTCATCCAACTTGTGGACTGTTGGGAAACTCTTGAGAGGCCGCAAGCAAAAAGGGAGCAAGGCCGCAGCGCTCGTGGTTGCGCGGCTCTCATTGGCAATTGTGGCTCTGTTTTCGCCCTTGCTGCAGGGTTCATGAGTTTCCCACTCAGCTTTCCTGTGGAGGGATGGAAGGTGAAAAGGCTTTTCTCGGTGCTCTGAGCCCTGTCAACTCTGTCAGACTCTTTCCCTACAGTACCAACAAAGCACAATCCCTACATCCTGCACTCCGTAGGTTTACCGGCGGGGTGATGCCGGTTGGCAGGTGAAGAGCCTCGCAGTCCCCCTCCCACTTCTCTGGGATCCTTGGAAATCCTCCTGCCCCTCCTTCTTCGCCCTTGTCTGCCGTGCGTTTCCCGGCCCCCTGCAGAAAACCCCCCTCTCTTCCTGGCGATTCGCTGTTGCTTTTGGGGGGAGGAAAATTGGCCGCAGCCCAGCAACCATCCCCAGAGAAAGCATCCATTTCGACCATCCACATCACATCTAAGCCCTGGTCAGTTGTTTCTGTACCCATGTTGCGATCGCTGTCGTCCTATCGAACCTTGTGCGACTACTTCGGTGAAACAAGGTGAAGCCAGCATATCCCGCGCTTGGGAAAATCTGTCGCATCGAACTTGAGCTGCCATCCATCGAGGCCATCACAGATAGTCAGCCAGGAGTCATGATAAGTAAGGTAAATAACAGAAGACGCAGGGGCAGCAAAACCTCCGGTGGCTTCCCACAGACAAACAGCCACACCCGCGTACTATTCAATAAGCTTCCGCCGTGGTGAATTCACGGTCATGATTTACATCCTCAAATGAGCGCTACCAGTCCATAGTCCCCAAGTTTCGATTGACCTTTTGTCGCCGTTTGAGAGCGGACAGTGTCTGGTTATTCTTAGCATCATACTAATATTAAAGGTCAAAATGACTATTTGAATCTTCATACATCTCAACGGATAGATTGTATGACTGTCCTCAAAAGCATTAACCTCTTGCTCCTGAACTTTCACTTAGTTTCATTGAGGGCGTAACATGGAGCGATGAAAGGTAACTCTCCAAAAGGGACATTGTAGACCTCAACCACTCGTTAGTCGCATTGGAAGAATCACGGTCTTTTTTTCTCCCTCACAACATCCAACTTCCAGCTTCTGAGACGTGTGTTGTTGCTGTAAGCGAAATAGCCATAAGGGCCGGTGGCAGCAACAAAAGAACCTACGTTTGCCCAATGTAAATCTTTTGGACTCAACTTCTGTCGAGTCATCATTCAGTCCTGCTAGGCCCTCTGTCGCCCCATTTCCAGACGTA